TCATTTTTAAATGTTAATTTTATCTTACTTTACAAAGAAGAATCAAAAAAAAAATAATTCCTAAAAGAAAAATACCTCCTGAAACCATTGGTATTAATAAATCACCTTTAGGTGTAACCGTAGGCGGAACTTCGATAGGGTCACTTGATGTGGTTGGCGTCAAAGTATATGGAACAGTCGCATTTGGACATGTTAAAGTGTTTTCAGTACAATTTCTTCCATTTACATGTTGTTGAACCTGTTTAAGAGGGACTTGTATAATTTGTTGGTTCTGCAATTGGATACTATCTGTCTGATTTGAGGTTAAATGGCTATTTGTTGTAGGAGAAAAAGCAGTTGGAGTTGTGAGAATAGGTGTTTTATATAGAGAATTCGAAAGTGCAGTTGGAGATATAATATCAGAAGTAGGAGATGTAGTGTTAGTTGCAGGAGATGCCATTATGTTTCTAGAAGGTTCATTGGTATTTGTTGAAAAATGTGTAGAATTATCTGATAAAAGTGAAGTGGAAGTAATATAAGTATTTACAGTAGTAGGAAGTATAGATCTATCGTTAAAAGATGCAGTTACAGTTGTAGGATTCACAACATGAGGAATAGAGGGTTTAGGTGTAATTGCAGAAGCTTCAGTTCTATTTATGGATTCAGAATTAATTGTAGAAGTATTCATATCATCTCTGGGAGAATCATGATTAATAGAAGCTATAGTTTTAGAAGAAATTGATGATGTAGTTGCAGAAGGTTTATTTTCAGGGGAAAAAGATGTAGCAGCAGAATTTGTAGTATTGCTTGCAGAAGATTCAATATTAGTTGAAGAATCTGTAGCATTAAATGCTGATGAAGATATTTGACCATTTATAGAAGAGTCAGTTGTAGATGTAGGATGTTCTGTGTTATCAGTTGGAGATACAGAATTATTTGTGGAAGGCAAAATGGTGATCGTAGGAGTAGGTGAAAGTAGTGGAGGTGTAGAGCTATATGTAGAAGTTCTAGTTACAATTGTAAGAGAAGGTTCAATCCCAGTAGAAGAAGAATCAGTTGTGGGAGATTCAGTGCTATTTGTAGGTATAATTTTATTTACAGAAGTTGCACTATCAGGAGGTAAAGATGCAGTTGTAAGAGGTGGAGTGATAGTAGTAGAAGGTGCAATATTATTTTTAAATGATTCAACAGTAGTAATAGAGTATTCATTGGTCGCTGTAGAAGATATTTCTCCAGGTAAAGGTGTAACTGTAGGTGTGCCACTACTTGTAGTAGAATTTGAAGGTAATGTTTCAGTTGCAGGAGATGTTACAACCTCAGGGGAATGTAATGATGAAGTTGTGTCAGATATAGTATTAGTATTAGAATGTATTGTAACTTTTGGAGTTAAAGAATTGGATTGTGTTGAGTTTATTGGANATTTCTTCATATGTTCATACTTCAAATATTTTTCATTTTCCATATACATTCCTTTAGGTGCTTTGGATTTCTTTACTTGTTTATACTTCAAATCTTTTCGATTTTTCAAACTCATATCACATTGTGGTATTTCCTTTTCATGGTGTAAGGATGAATAATTTTGATTATTTATTGGTTCATTCTTTGTATTATTTGTATCCATTAGCAACGGTTCCCTTGTTATTTTCTTAATCTTTTTTCTTGCTTTTTTTTTTTTTGACTTCCTATTACGAATCCAAGAACCAATGGGAGTATACTATAATTCAAATTAAAAAATAAAAAATTATAAAAATTCTTTATTAATGTAATTATAATTTTAAATATATACGTTTTTTCATTTTTTAATTGTTAATATAATCATACTTTACAAAGAAGAATCAAAAGAAAAATAATTCCTAAAAGAAAAATACCTCCTGAAACCATTGGTATTAATAAATTATCTGTAGGTTTAACTGTAGGCGGAACTTCGATAGGGTCACTTGATGTGGTTGGCGTCAAAGTATATGGAACAGTCGCATTTGGACATGGTAAAGTGTTTTCAGTACAATTTCTTCCATTTACATGTTGTTGAAACTGTTTAAGAGGGGCTTGTATAATTTGTTGGTTCTGCAATTGGATACTATCTGTCTGATTTGAGGTTAAATGGCTATTTGTTGTAGGAAAAAAAGCAGTTGGAGTTGTGAGAATAGGTGTTTTATCTAGAGAATTCGAAAGTTCAGTTGGAGATATAATATCAGAAGTAGGAGATGTAGTGTTAGTTGCAGGAGATGCAATTATGTTTCTAGAAGGTTCATTGGTATTTGTTGAAAAATGTGTAGAATTATCTGATAAAAGTGAAGTGGAAGTAATATTAGTATTTACAGTAGTAGGAAGTATAGATCTATCGTTAAAAGATGCAGTTACAGTTGTAGGATTCACAACATGAGGAATAGAGGGTTTAGGTGTAATTGCAGAAGCTTCAGTTCTATTTATGGATTCAGAATTAATTGTAGAAGTATTCATATCATCTCTGGGAGAATCATGATTAATAGAAGCTATAGTTTTAGAAGAAATTGATGATGTAGTTGCAGAAGGTTTATTTTCAAGGGAAAAAGATGTAGCAGCAGAATTTGTAGTATTGCTCGCAGAAGATTCAATATTAGTTGAAGAATCTGTAGCATTAAATGCTGATGAAGATATTTGACCATTTATAGAAGAGTCAGTTGTAGATGTAGGATGTTCTGTGTTATCAGTTGGAGATACAGAATTATTTGTGGAAGGCAAAATGGTGATCGTAGGAGTAGGTGAAAGTAGTGGAGGTGTAGAGCTATATGTAGAAGTTCTAGTTACAATTGTAAGAGAAGGTTCAATCCCAGTAGAAGAAGAATCAGTTGTGGGAGATTCAGTGCTATTTGTAGGTATAATTTTATTTACAGAAGTTGCACTATCAGGAGGTAAAGATGCAGTTGTAAGAGGTGGAGTGATAGTAGTAGAAGGTGCAATATTATTTTTAAATGATTCAACAGTAGTAATAGAGTATTCATTGGTCGCTGTAGAAGATATTTCTCCAGGTAAAGGTGTAACTGTAGGTGTGCTACTACTTGTAGTAGAATTTGAAGGTAATGTTTCAGTTGCAGGAGATGTTACAACCTCAGGGGAATGTAATGATGAAGTTGTGTCAGATATAGTATTAGTATTAGAATGTATTGTAACTTTTGGAGTTAAAGAATTGGATTGTGTTGAGTTTATTGGATAAATTGTAGTTGCAGTTTCTGTGTCCACTTGTTCTGCAGCAACTGGTGGTACTGAGGTGACATTTGTTAATGTATTTTCAGAGGAATTTACACCATTTACGTTATTAACACTGGTCGTTTTGCTACCGAATGAATCCGTAGCGGTATCATAATGTAATTCATTAGGAGTTATAGTTGTAGGTTGTAAGCCATCTGGTAATGCAGTTGTATTATATGAAGTTTCATTAGATTTATTTTGAGTGCTATTTGAAGAAAGCCAATCTAAATTATATGGATCATCTGTATTTTTTCGTTTTTTAAATTGATAAATTAATTTTGTCATATTACATTGATTATTAGTAGTTTCTAACACAAAAGTTTGTAAATTATTACTAAAATCATTCCATATTTGAATAGAATTATTTATATATAATGGATCATCATAAAATTCACTGGCGAACATGTTAACAAATTGCATTCCTCTCTTATATATATACATACTCCACTTAGCACAATTAAGTTCAGAATTGTCACTTTCATACTTTCTGTAATAGTAATCAGATATATCATAAGTAACATTGTGAAACCTATTCTGTCTATTTTCAATAATTTTAGTTTTATTTTGTTCATATTGATTATCATTGAGATCGTTATATGTTAATGGAATTAAATCTGGTAAATCACTATTTTTATAAGGACTAGTGCAATTATCATTTCTTTTCAAAACAGCACAATAATCAAAATTTTTCAAAGTACATGTTGAATTTGTTTTATCCTCTATTTTTGTCTCGAAAGATCTTTGTTTTTCATTCCAACAATTAACAAGACTTGAGATATTACGATCTTTTTCTTCATTTAATACTAAATTAACAAAGTCCATTCCTCTCCAATTTATATATGTGGATGACTTTTGACATTTTTCTGTAGTATTCTTAATTTGTTCGTCATCAAGATAAAAATAAAGTTCATTATTAGTATCTTCCACAAATGTTTTAATTTCTGTATTGAGTTTACCTTTTTCACTAGAGGAGTTATCTCCATTTTCTTTTGTTGTACTTTTTTGTCTATCTGATATACAGGAAGTTTCTTCTGCTTGTGATAAATATCTTGCTTTCTTTAAGATTGATTTTTTTCTCATGATTATAATATCATTATAAAAGCCTTTCTCAAAATATTTTGAAGTAATATTCAAAAATTAATTTAATAAAGAAAAGAAGTTTTTATGTGAATTATAGATAAATGCATAAATTTCAACAAAACCAAAAAGTAATGTGTATGTATGTATTTTATACTTTAAATTTATGAAATGTTAAAAAAATATTCGTTAATCCAATTAAGGAAGAAAAATAATTTAATTTGACCAAAAAATTGAATATAGATATTTTTGTTATTTTTGAGCATCATTATACACTTGAATTACAATGAGAAATTGTTATAATTTCTACATAGAAATGACAATACTTGTACTTATTTTTTTTTTTTTTTTTTTTTTTTTTTTTTCTCTTTAATTAAAAATTCTGTCTTTATTTTTTAACTTTTTATAGATTATATAAGTTGCATTAAACTGATTGAAGAAAAAAAAGAACATCTCAACAATTTAGACATTTTATATATATATGCAGAATGTTTATATAAGTTAAAGGATTATGAAAAATCTATCGAGCATTTTAAAAGTTATTTAAATTTATGTAAATATAATAATATTCGTACAAAAATATATATACAATTAAGTAAAATTTATACTTCCTTAAAGCAATATAAAGAAAGCAAAACCATGATTAAAAATTCCTTACAAATATATAAATCAAGTTATGCTTATCTATATTTAAGCTCTTATTATTTAAGAAAAAAAAAGTATATACATTCATATAAGTTATTATATAAATTAAATGAAATAAATTTTTTTAATCATAAGTTGTGGGCATATTTAGCAATAGTATTCTTACACTTAAATATGAAAGTAACAAAAAAAAAAAAAAAAAAAAAAAAAAAAAATAAGTAAATAATTAGTGAGGAAGTCAATTTATTTTTATGAAAATGCTTAAAATAAGTTTAGCAGAATTAATAATTCCATATATGAAAAATATACTACTTAAGT